TACAAACATTTCCAAATTTGTTCTGAAATGGCTCCAAGAACAAGCATGACCCTCTGTAACTAGCCTGTCCCTATGGAATCTTTCTTCATTAATTCAAATGAGCTCACACGTTAAACCTCAATAAAATGTCACCTCATGGGTAAAACTGTACCTGACACATTTTTTTTCTTCCTTTTGTGCTCCAACACTAGTTATGGAAACTATCATCATCTGATTTGATTAACAATAAACAGAACATGTTTCTACCATGTAGAAACATGGACAGTATCTTACTCATTTGCACATTTTGTCAATAGTGTATAGCATAGTACCTGGCACATGGTAGGCATCAACATATACATATTAGCTTTAATATGAATAATCCTCTTAGTACAAACATTAGCATTGAGCAGCAGGATACACAGCATGTAAGAGTGTGGACTCCAGAGTCAGACAAGAAACAAATTTCAACTTTCCCTTCCTACTTATAGCATAGTTTCCCCATCTGTAAAATAGTTTCCCCATCGTACCATATCCAAGATTATTATAATTAAGGAACTACTAGTAAATGGCATAATATATTTAGAGAGATAAGAAAGTGGAACAAAGTAAATATTAAGCTTTATGGAGAAATCATCATGATTGGACATATATTGTCATTAATTGCAACTATAAGTGCAACTACATAGCACATGGAGAGGTGGATTCAGTATCCCCTCTGCCTGACACAGTATCTGGCAAATGAGAGAGATTAATAAATGTTGATTTGCGTGTTAATAAATTCACACTTTAATTAAGACAGTAAATAAATGAAGTTTTAATTGACCTTTACCCCCATCTAGCTGAGATCACCATTCAAACCAAGGAAATCCTGACAACACTTATCATAGTATATGTCCTTTATGAAATATGCTGACTACATACATTGTAGGATTTGGAGGATTTAAGAGAATGATTTCTAGATCACTTTTCTCTAAAAGCTAAGTAAATGTGATAGAGGATCATATTTCTTCACAAACACCAGGTTTCTTCAGAGTGTAACGTCAAAATACGGATACAAGATTAGAGTCCCTGGGAAGACAGTTCTGAAGTCCAAAAAGCCTTCTCAGTGCAGTCTTCATGTCATTGTTCCTGAGGCTGTAAATGAAGGGGTTGAGCATGGGAGTCACCACTGTGTAAAATACAGCTGCAACCTTGTCCTTCCCCCCTGAGTGTGATGAAGGGGGGCACAGATAGACACCGATTGCTGTGCCATAGAACAAGAAGACCACAGTGAGGTGGGACCCACAAGTGGAGAAGGCCTTTTGCCTGCCAGAGGCAGATGGGACCCTGAGGATAGAGGAGATGATGTGTGCATATGACAGGATAATCAGGAAGAGAGGGCCAGTAAGTATCATGGAGGCCACAGTGAACAAGGCTACCTGGTTGGTGCTGGTGTCTGAGCAAGAGAGCTGCAGCAGAGGGACTATGTCACAGTAGAAGTGATGGATGGTGTTGCCTGCACAGAAAGAAAGCCTAGCCACGAGCAGGGTGTGTAAGAGGGCAGCGAGGATGGTGAGGACCCAGCATGCCATGAGGAAAAGCACGCACACAAGAAGACTCATGTGTGTGGAGTAGTGCAGAGGCTTGCAGATGGCCACATAGCGATCATAAGCCATCACCCCCAAGAGGAAGTCGTCCAGGGCCCCGAATATCATGAAAAACTGCATCTGGGTCAAGCAACCCCCATATGATATGGTCTGACTCTGTGTCTGGATGTTCACCAGCATCTTGGGGATTGTGGTGGAAGAAAAGCAGGCATCGGCAAATGAGAGGTTGGCCAGGAAGAAGTACATGGGGGTGTGAAGGTGAGGGTCAAAGCTGATGGCCAGGATGATGAGCAGGTTCCCCAAAACAGTGACCAGGTACATGCCCAGGAAGATGCCAAACAGGAAAGGCTGCTGCGCTGGGCTCTCAGAGAGACCCAAGAGGAGGAATTCGGTGACACTGGACTGGTTAATTCTGTCCATGCCACCACTCTTTCTAGGAAGAGAAAAGAGATACAGGAAACTTGCACAAAAAGTAACACTTGTGGTCCTCAATGAGAGAGTCATATTTTATTCAGTAGATTAGACTATAAAGGTCCCTAGACCCTCCCTCCTAGATCTCCCCTAATTCTTCCCTACTCTTCAGTTTAGCTGGTAAGAGAGAGCAAGTAGGCAGAGAGATTAAAACACAAAAGCAAAGTGGTGGGTATTGGCTGGGGCTGTGAGTTCCAGGTTACTTCCATGCATGCTATATAAAACATGGGCATTAAGAGCTGCCATTTGCTGAACGAAAGCACTATACTTTGCAGCATCTAACCAAATGCCTTGTGTAGTGCATGCTTTTGTTATGTGACATCACAGAGAGTTACACAAGGCTCAGTGATATTCAGTCACTCTCACAAAGTCACAAAGAGAAAATACAGCATTTCCCACGTCCTTAAACACCCTGCATCACGGCCACCTCTGAGCTGAACCTCTTCCTCTGCAGGAGGCAGACCTAGGTGACTCGGTTCCCACTGCTCACCTCAGGATGTCTGGGACAGTGCACGGGGATGCTGACTGCGATCATTGTGGGTCTCAGAGGGAAAACACAACCCTGCCTGCCCCTTTCTTGCAGCACTCACCATATTGCTCTGGCCCAAACAGCATGCACCCGCAAAGGAGCCCACACTGTTCCTGGGCTCCCCCTTTGGTCTCAGAGGACCATGCTTCGAGCACGCAGGGCTCTTCGTAGCCTATAGCAGGTGAGAAGGTTGGAAGGACCCGGTGAGGCTGGTTTCACAGAGCCAGCTGGAGAGCAGCAACCCTGACTGCAGTGATGGGTGTTAGACATCCTTTGTGCACCGTGTCATGGGAGTATTTCTAGGTTCAGGGCCTCTGGAGTATGATTCCCCTGGCTGATCCTCAGAGACAAACATGAAGTAATTGCTCTAGCCTCATACTCTGGCTCCCTAGGCCAGGTTCACCCAGGAGCATGGGAGGAATGCAGAGCATATGGGGGAGGTTTGCATTTGATCAATTTTGTGCCCAGGGATGAGTGTGTCTTGATCTCAGGGTAGTGGTTGCTCTGGGGTATCTCCTCAGAAAGCTGGAAACGAGGGCAGAAGGAGGTCAGAACAGGAGGTAGAACAGCAAACTTTGACTCCAAACCTGGCCAAAAGGTTTTGTGGCCCCGCTACCTTGAGGGAGAGGGTGTTGTTTGACTTCTCTGAGCCTCTGGATTTCAGGTTGTTGCTAAAAGAGTCATTAACTTAGGCTGCTGGTTCCTACCCACCATAACAGTCCTTGAGAAACTAAGGTAAACAAAATAATCTAGGAAATATAACAGTAATATTAAAACAAAGAAACCCATGAGGGAAAGGAAGACAGTTATGAGCTGGAATAGAATGTGGGGCAGAAAGCTAAGTTGAGAATTGGTCTACGGAAGAGGTCTATTGCTGCTCTGTGAGAGGATGTTGTGGGGGAAATTAATTCAAAGACCCTGACTCTAAGGAATATTGGGTGGGGAGATGAACCATGGTTGTCTGTGGCACAAACAATTATGAAAAGTGGCCCTGATGGCTTCTTATCCTGACTCCTCCTGAGGGGCCAGAGGACACCATGACCCTGCTGGCTTATTATAAAAGCACTAGGAGTGACTGTGGGTCCTCTTAAATGCTAAAGCTACCCTAATACCAGCCTATGTCCTGGGTCTGTAAAGCCAATAAGGTAGCAACGATGGGGGATTCCCCTAGTCCTAGTAATACAGATTGGGGCTGCCTGGAAGAGGAAGCTTCCCACCATGAACTGGGTAGAGAAGATCCCCACCCCCCTTAAAGTATGTCCTATAACAACTCAAAAACAACAATACATGGTAAGAAACTGAAACAGAGGTCCAAGATTTGACTTGATTGAAAATTCCAAATTTATTAAAGATTTTATGCAATTAGCAGATGAAAAGGTGTGCTAACTGGCTCTCCCTATATTTCCTGCTATTTGCTAAGCTCCTAAGTCTGGATCCAGTTGCATTTGGAGACAGAGGAGAGAGAGACGCCAGAAAAAAAGGAATCTGGGCCTCACCTTTATAATTCAGGCTCAGAATTACCTTTAACTTCTGCCACGATGTGCCAACTGGCTTGCATATCTCGTGATCCTCAAATGAATATTGAATCCCCTCAGATTCTCAAGTAATAACAGGATCCATTAGACTTATGGAAATGGGTGAGCAATGTCCACCCACCCCAATATTCCCAGGCTCATCTCCAATCTTTTCTCTGCTCCACTGGGTATTCATGGCATGAAAAATAGCCCATGCTGCTGCTGCAGTCATTAATGCATATGCCTCCCCAAATGGGAAACTTGAGAAGAGGGCATCAATTATTGAGGAAAAGTGGTATGATACAATGGATATATCACTTTGCTAAGCACCCCAATAGACAGGGAGCACTAGCCAGTCCTGAGCAGATTATCACTAACACTTAGACCTGGCAGTTATTCCTCTGGGAGAACCAGCAAATTCTAAGTCTTCCCTACTCCCTTTACTTAGTCAAGCTCTTTGGAAGGCTGCTACTTTTTAATCCTTCAGCTGAATATCCCCAATCAAGGATGGAATATAAGGGTCAGCACAATTGGCCAAACCCCAGGCAGTCATTGTGGCATTGGAAGATGCCCCAGGAAATGGCTGGCCCCAATTACACATCTTCAGCAATTAGCCATTGTGATTTGGTCCAGCCAATCACAACAATTTCTCATTCAGGGTTGTCCTCTATGGGGTAAAGAACTATGGTAAGTCCTTTCTCTCAAATACCTGAGAGAAAGAGAAGTTTGCCTACAAAAGAACAGTAGTCATATTCACATCAGACTTCTTCTTTTGTTAATTTTTTATGTTGATTTCAGATAGGAAGGGTGAGGGATAGAGAGGTAGAAACATCAATGATGAGAGAGAATCATTGATCAGCTGCCTCCTGCATGCTGGGGATCAAACCCACAACCGTGGCATGTGCCCTGACTGGGAATCGAACCGTGACCTCCTGGTTCATAGGTTGACGCTCAACCACTGAGCCATGCCAACCAGGCACATCAGACTTCTTAATAGCTACACTTGCCTCCTGCATGCTGGGGATCAAACCCACAACCTGGGAATGTAAAAAGACACTGCAATTTTTTAATGCATAAGAGGGATACAACTTTGAACCCATAATTTTATATCTAGCAAGTTGCCATTCAAATGTAGAGACATATTACAAATATTCTTAAGATACATAATAGTCGGAAGGTTTGCCACACAAAGAGACTCGTGGCAGAAACACTTAAATGAAAAGATAAACATTTTTAGGAAATAATATAAGATATGTGGAAATAAAAAATGGTCAAATATCTTGATAAAATTCTTGGTTTTTTAAATACTTAAACAAAAAGAAAATGAGGGAGTATATCCATTAAATCAGAATTAAAATTCCTACAAATCATTATCAAAAGACAATCAACCTGCCCTGGCCAGTTTTTCTCAGTGGTTAGAGTGTCTGATTTGATTCCCAGTCAAGGGCACATACTTCGGTTGTGGATTTGATCCCCCACCCGATTTGGGTTGTTTACAGGAGACAACCAAACAATGTGTCTCTCTCATGTTGATTTTTCTCTCTCTTCCTGCCCCCTTCTCCTCCCTTCCATTCTGTCAGAAAATCAATGGTAAAAATATCCTCAGGTTCATATTTAAAAAGTAAATAAATAAAGACAGCCCGGCTGGTATGGCTCAATGGCTGAGCATCGACCTATAAACCAGGAGGTCACAGTTCGATTCCCAGTCAGGGCACATGCCCAGATTATGGACTCTTGTCAGGTGGAGCTCTTGCCAGGTGGAGATGTTTCATTAGGAACTGGGGAACTGTTCATTAAAACCACAAGATAATGCTCCATATGCTCTAGAATGACAAAAATATATATTTTTTAACTCTAAGATTTCTATTGTGAGAGAATATTTTGTTTTCTGATTTATTTCCTTGAGAAAACCAAAGTCCAGAGAGGATAAGTGAACCTCATAAAGTCACAGAGCAGTCATTTAGAGTTTGAGGACTGGGACGGGGCATGAACCAAGCTTTTCCCTCAATGAATCCTTTAGAGACTGGTATTCCCAGATGTCTCTGAAACCTCCCTCAGAGAGCTCTGGGGATTGTGCTAGAAGCTGCATGTTTTCCTGGGATCCTAGCCAGGCTGGCTGACTCAGGATCTAGGATGCCCTTCTCTCATTTCTTCTTTTTTAGAGTAGATGAGGCTTCCATATACCAGGGTTCCCTTCTGCCTTAAACATAGGGGAAGATGCTATCTTTCCATCTGATCATCAAATATGACTTCATCAGTCTTGACAAGTGAGAACTGTGAATAGAATAATCAAACATCTACTTTAACATGAAGAAATAAGCAGCTCTTCTTGGCCCAGCTCAGAACTGATAGTAAGTCATTGGCCATATGTCAAGAGAAGCAGAATGGTCCACTGTAAATTGTTTCGGGAATCTTGTTTTTGATAACAGGTGTAGTGTTGAACTTGGAAAGATTGCAGCAGCTCTTTGAGGTCTGTTTACTCGTTCATAAAATAAGACCGTTGTATTAGATGGCTTAATGTCCTTTAAGTTCCTAAAGGGTGGGGTGGTTAGATAGATTTGGCTATTGCCCAGATTATTAATTTAACCCTTTGGTCCCTAAAACCACAGTTTCCTAAAATTTCCATATACCCCTGAGAGGGGCTTGACATGTGAATGGAGCATATCAGATCATGTTGGCTGTTTTCAAATATATAAAAGTAAGAGAATTGGTGAATACTTCTCAGCATTGGGAAGGGGCACGTGAAGATATGCTCACATTAAATCTGAATTCCAAGCATTAATTTCTTGTGCATCTTTTTAAATTAAAACAAAATGTAGTGTTGAACTTGGAAAGATTGCAGCAGCTTTTTGAGGTCTGTTTACTTGTTCATAAAATAGGACAGTTGTATTAGATGGTTTAATGTC